GCAGCCTCTCCCAGGGAAGGGGGGGCTGGGGGCTCACGTTCGGTGTATGGAATCTCCCTGACGCTGCAGCTGTGCATCCGGGTGACCTCACAGAGCCTGCCTGGAATGGGATTATCCCAGAGAACTCCCACCAGGCAAGAGCCCTTCTCCCCCTTCTCCAGCCCCCTCCACCATTTGATTTTTGAAGGGAAGACAACTCACCTAGCTGTTCACCAGGACAGTATTTCCTACCTGTATTCATTAGCACATGTTACCATCTTCCCAAATAAAGTGAAGATAATTTTTATTACATAGTTTTCTATGGGTTAACTAATCTGCCAGATGATTCACTGACTTGGATTTCCCGGCAGACTTGCCAAGGCCGCTTGCTAAACGATGCAGTTGAACAGCAGGGAATCTCCTCCATCCACACACCACTCACGGAAAGTGCACCGGTGTCTCACAGCTGGAGCATCACGTGCCTGCCCCGCACAGATGTCTTGGTCTGGCCTCTAAAAGCCCTTCTTTGAGTAAAAGTCTCCCTGAATACACAGAAGTGGGTCACTGAAGTGCAAGGGTTGTGCCCTAATCTCATCACAGAATGTTAGAACAACCATCTCTGACTCAATTATTCCTTAAATATACAGTGAGTAGCATCTTCCCAATGACCTGCTGAAGGAGAGCAAGAACTTCCACTGTATCCCTTTAATCAGGCTGTTGAGGTGGTTGCCTCAAATCACTATCAGTTTTTGACCACATGAACAATAGAAGCCCTCCTAGCAAAAACCTGTCAGCATGTTCCCACAAAATGCAATGAATTAGTGTTGTCCAGCAAAAATATGTGTTGTCAGCAAGGGCCACCTGCTTCCTTGCAGGAAGGACATAAGCAGTCTTTTGTCCAGACCTATAGCTTGTGCTGTTCAGAGCTCCACACTCCGTCTCACTTGTTTGCACTCTGTGATGCTCAAACTATGCAGACAAAAACATGGACTTGAAATATTATCTACACGGCTTAACGCACAGTATTGACCGCTTCTTTGGTGACTTTGGTGTAACGTAAACATAGCAGCTTTACATTACAGGTATCGGAAAACAAATCATCTTTCTTAACGGAGAAACACGGACACTGCTATAAGGAAATCCACCACAGCATTCATTCAGGTGGCATTCAGGGTGTTATGCAAGCTGTCTTTCAAATGTCATCACGAATGATATGGCAAGAGAGTCTGGATGCTTCCACTTGGATATTTCAGCCACAGTGAAACCAGCAGCAAAGCGGTATGATACCAGTGTCCTAAATCATAGTAAATGCAGCAGGAGAACCATGCTAAATGTGTTTTTTCTTTTCCTGAATATTTCACACATTAAGTAAGATCAGCTCTGTAGAACATAGTGGACTTCTGCTTTGCAACAGAGAACTGGGAGGCTTTGATTCTTTTTGTTGCCACCATAGATATTTGAATCCTTTCCAGACTCAAAGTGCACATTTCTTTGTTTTCTTGCCCCACCTCCATGGGCTGCCTTGTCACAGCAGGGGAGTCCCTGGCACCAGTGTGACTCTGCCGTGCAGTGACGTGCTTGCATGCAGCTGCAGGTGGCACGGGCCTTGGCTGCACCCCGACGGCTCACAGCGTGCACAGAACTGGGCCTCGTGCAGTGACAGGGAGCCTGAGGTCCCTGCGTCACACATTTTGAAAAACTCTACGTTTGAGTGGTTTCCTTAGGAATCCCACAGGCACGTGTGCTTACACCCGTGTATGCACGTGGAAGGTGTTTGCCGTCTACCCAATAATCACTGAAAACAGCAGACAAATTAAGCACAGGTGTAGTGACCTCAAAGTACTGGGATTTTCTCAGACAGAAATGTCCTGTGTTTGTCATTGGTTTATTTTGAAGAAAACCTTTGAGTGTATTTTCATCCGCAGGGCCACAAGGATGATCAGGGGCCTGGAACATCTGCCCTATGAGGAGAGACTGAGGGAGCTGGGCCTGTTCAGCCTGGAGAAGAGAAGGCTGAGAGGGGATCTGATCAGTGTCTATAAGTACCTCAAGGGAGGCAGTGAGGAGGATGGTGCTGGCCTCTTTTCACTGGTGGCCACCGCCAGAACTAGAGGTAATGGCCACAAACTGAAACACCAAAAGTTCCACATGAGCTTAAGGAAAAATTTCTTAACAGTGAGGGTGACAGAGCACTGGAACAGGCTGCCCAGAGAGGTTGTGGAGTCTCCTTCTCTGGAGATCTTCGAAACCCGGTATTTACAGCTGGTTTGATTTGCAATGCCAAAACCATAGCATGCAATGTTTAAAAGTCCCTTATGGAGGCTGTGTTCTGTTTGCTTATAATAGTAAAGATATGATACAACTTGCAAATGACTTTTGCCTTAACACAGCATCATTAACAAGTCAAACATCTCAAGATCTCCTAGTTCTACGTCTCTAGCATGTTCAATACTTTTCCTAAATTTGCAGGGGCTTAGGAAGATAAGTTTGAGATAAGCTTTTTAGGGCAATTCCTTGTTTGCTTAAACACTGTCCTCTCATTCTTAGCTTGTTCGGGACACAAAGAGGAGAGATGGACACTTCCATAGAAAGTCAGCATGGGTGAAAATGAGCCAGATAGTGACATAAAACAGAAATAAATCAAGTTTACTTGGTATTTCGAATGAAACCTCCCTAGTTGTTTATTTTTCTCTTTTGTGTTCCACAGGAATTTGAATGAATGCATTACGCTAGGAAAATAATCTAAATGCAAATAGTTAAATGGTCTTGAGAGGAACACTTCATATTGTGCAATGACATAATACCAGCATACCTTCTACCATCAACAGTCAGCACCTCAGGATTGAAGGAAGTAGTTAAGTCAGTTTTAAATGTTGAGTATTTAAATCTGAATGATCTGCAGCCCATCATTTAGACGCTGGAGAAACCTGTCCTTTCATTTAACAGAATTAAATTCACAATTTAGCTATGCATTGTTCATGCAGTAAGATGTGAAATCCATAATTATTTGATCAAGACAATAATTAGTATGGCACTAAAATCATGGTGCAGATTTTACCTCTCCTTTAACTGAAGAGGATAAATAAGTTACATGCCTTAACTTTATTCTCATGGCTTTGGGATCTTTTGTTTATTTAAGGTGTTCAATTTTGCATCAATGGAATTACAATTCAACTAGTTTGCTTACTTGCAGTTAATGTATGAGAAAGGGCTGTCAAAAGTTCACCAGAAAGATCAGCGAAAAAATGATGTTTTCCAGAGTAGTTCTTCTCTGGGTTCCCTTATTTTCTGTTTTTTATTTGTTTGTTGTTTTCCCTTCTTCCACGATGTGCCAAATTATTTGTGTTCACATGTTCTTATTGGTGCCATTTTTAGATCTGTTGGCTTTAGGTGCCCACTCTAGGTACTTTACTTATGTGGCTTGGCTCCCCAGCTTTCCTCTCTAACCCATGGAGTGGGACAGGCTCTTCTGGGGAGGTCACAAAGAAGCTCGGCTGCTTGGATGCATTCCCTGGAAGAGCCTATCGCTTTCCATTATGGGAATGAGCCTGTCAACTTAGGCACTTAAAAACACTCTGGAAAATATTCCCTGCCACTGTCCCACTGTCCTAAGTAGCTCTTCATTTTTGTTTGTTCTTCCATTCATACTCAGGAATGTCTTTTACCATTTCTGACATTCCCTTGTTACCTGCCCTCTCTGTAGTTCCTAGAGCTAAAACTTCTTGGGCTCCCTTGTTCCCTTTTTTCCCCCCATCTCATTTACCTTAATAAATCTCTTTCTTTCTCCAGCCTCATACCCTTTTCCTTTTTGGATGTCCAGGCATGAGAGGCCCTTCCCCAAGCATTGCTGCTTCCCCATGCACTTTCTCCCATCTGTTCAGTCTCACCACGAGCCAGGCCTTGCCTCTGCTTTAACTCCTGCTTCGATCCTCGTAGTCCTTCTCCTGTCCTCTCTTAAGGATGCCGCTGCTGAAGATCACACACAGTGTCGCTTGGCAATGGCCTATGCCTATTAGTACCAGCCGTAAATGTGTGACTTCATTCATCCAGACGCATGCGGATTCCTTCAGTGAACATCTATATTATTCTGTGTGTTGGTTCATTCAAATGGCCCACTGCTACGTTTTTGAAGAAAGTAAGGACTGTGAACTTAGGCAAAGGGAAGGAAATAATGATTGTAACATGTTTCTAAGATTATAAGTTTAAAAGAATGGTGTAGATTTGACACATGAAATCTGACACGTCAGATTTGACCCAGTTGGGTTAATACCCATGGTAGGAATGGCAGGTCATGATATTTGCATTTTACTTGTTCAGCCAACATTACGATGCTTGAACATGAGAAAGTGCTGAGCTAGAAGTAGTGAAGCCCTTCGGTTGTGGCTACGTATCTGTACAGCAGCATTAGCTGAGCATTTGAGCGCGACTCATTTCATCTTCAAGTGCCTGTTTTATAACACTTGAGGAGCACCTGTCAACTGACCGGTATCACTTCTCCTTCAGGGTGAGCTGTGTGGCATCCTGTAGGTTCTCATCTTTTTCCTTTGCCTATAAAATGCAGACCTCTGTGCAGCAGGAAGCTGTGGACAAGAGAGTGAATGGCACCTCTTGAGGTTAGTGCCCGTTCCGTAGGAGCTAAAGTGCCATGCTGAAGCCAGGCCTGCTGCCGTCACTGTGCTGGGCATGAGGAAGCACAGCAGCAGCGGCTGTGTGTCCCATGGTCGTTGGTATCGATGTTCTCCATGCAGAAATCAGATGCTTCTTCCTTCCAGCACAAATTAACCTTGAAGCTCTCTTCTCAAACAAACAAGCAAAAAAACAGTATGGGGCTTCCTACTGACGTTGGTATCGATGTTCTCCATGCAGAAATCAGATGCTTCTTCCTTCCAGCACAAATTAACCTTGAAGCTCTCTTCCTCTGCTCAAACAAGCAAAAAAAACAGTATGGGGCTTCCTACCGGGCAGAAACCTTGCAACAGCACTAACTGGCATAAAACAATCACAACAATCATTATCAATCACTCTGGATGGATCCCTCTGCTCCAATGCTGTTTATTGACATAGATGGCACATCCCACCTGCTCCAGATCTGCATGAGGATTCTGGCTGGCAACAGGGGAGCCACTGGCCTAGATGTCTCACAGGGCTCAGTCATATTGCTGGTGCCCCTTTTCTTGAGGAAGGCCTTAAGTTCAGGATATTTCAGTCATGGATGCTTTCCCCTTCTCACACATCCCTATGTCAGCTAGTCCAAAACTAAGCTGCAAACCTGTGGGTAGGTAAAGTTCTCACCAGAACCCAGCTAGCATTGACCTGGAGTTAGATCATGTGCAGAATCTCTCTGCTTCAGGCACTGTAGAAGAAAAATGTGGTAAAACAGTTCTTCCGATTTGCAGGACGGGATTCCAGTATCTTGCATCTTGCTTTTCCTTTTTTTAAAGCAAGTGTTCTCAATCACATCCTACATAGTTCTGTGGGGTTTTCTCCTGTTAGGCAAGGCAAAATGCCAGTTACACACCGAGAAGGAAACTGGCAAGGAAAACATGTCATTGTGTTTCAGAAGGCCTTTTCTTACTGTCCAGGCAACTTAAAAAGGAATTTGTTTGCTTTGGTTGAAAGAGTACACCCAAGACATTGTGAACCAACATAACCTGCCCTCAGTCCTGTGCCAGCCTCCCCCTCAGGGGAAGCCAGTCTCCCAGTAATCTGTCCACTCTTTCGCTTGTGCAAAATGCATGTTCTTCACGTTAGAAACTCAATGTTGTGGGCATTTTGGGGGTGTATATTATACTGGTGGTCAATACATACAAAAATATGACAAACTCTGCAATGCTTTGAATGGTGCACATGTGTGTAGTTACTGAGATATACTATGAGGGGGATTCACCTGATCAATAGTAGATACCAACACACAACCAACAAATACACAACACCACAAACCAACACAACCAACAAAAGGCTCTCTCTTTAGAGATGCCTCTTTGTGGTAGAGGCATCTACCACAAACGTTTCAAGTACAAGAAGTTCCTGGGCCTCCAGCGAATAAAAAAAGGAGCCTCTGCTTACAGGAAGAGACGTGTATTGTAAACCCTGCGGGTTACATGAGATGAAATCTGACCCATGAAACTATCTTGGATTAAATACCAAGGTGCTTTACCCAAATGGCTATTACAGGCTAGATTGACTGGATGAATAAAAAAAAAGGGGGGGTGGGGGGTGGAAATCTAAAAAAGTAAGACACATTTCCAGCTGACAAGGCAGGAGAGCACCCCTTCACTCTGCACAGGCTGTCTCTGGCTCCTGCTGATGCCAGCAAAGAAATTTTGGGCAGCAGGGCTAGAAAGCAGAGGAATTGAGCAGATACAGAAAACTCAGACCACTTCCGGAAAGGTGGATCACTATGGTTTAATATCCAGGAGCGGATACTATGACGGATTACTATCAGGAGCAGGTGGCTGTGACCTACAGTGAGCATTTAAAGGATCAGCGTATGTAACTACTTTGATAGACAAGCATGTGCCGCTTTACGGTGCTTTCCTCTAAGTGCCTCTGCAGTTATTACTATCACTAAATCATTGCTTTTCCAAAGGCCACCTACTTGCCATTAGCATTGATTCTCAAGTGTGATTTGTGGACAGCTGGGCCTGCTGGATAATCACCAGATGCTGGAGCCTGCAGCCTGCCCAGAGGCAGAGGAGCCCCCCTTCTCTCCCTGGAAGAGTAGAGGAGGAGGCCTGGTGTGCAGGCCTCGCACCAGAGTGGGGATGGCAGCCTGCATTAGAGCTCTAGCAGAAGGAACATTGTCAACACAGCCGTAACATTACAGAAATGTGAGGGAGGGACCTTCTGGGGCACTGAACTGTCCCAGCTGAAGTGCCAGCCTTACACACAGTCACGCTAGCATGAGCGCCCAGGTCGCTCTGAAGCGAACTCCGATATAACTCCAAGAGGTGCATTCACAGCCTTGACTGATGCACAGTCCATCAATAGTTCTTGCTGGAAAAAGTTCTCACACACATCAGGAGTTGTCACGCTCATCCTCTCCTGAGTGAGAGGTTGCCAGATGACAAACATAAAGTAGCATTTGTAACTCTTAAGCTTCCCCTGACATCTTTTATGCTGGCTGGTGACTTCTCCTCTTCAACAGGCAAAGCACACTTGAGCTTTTCTCCCTGCTGTTTTCCACAAATATTAGAGCTGGGTTTTTTGTTGTTGTTGTTGTTTGTTTTGTTTGACTTGGAGGATTTTGCAGAATGTGCATCTCAAGAAGCTCTACAACTCTAAAAGGTGCTGCCTATTGTAGTAGAAGATCTTGTGGACTGTGTTTTTTCCCGAATTCACAACATGAAGAATACATATTAAGTGAATTTATTAACCACAGTCACAGAGGTACTTGTGCATGTAACCAGTGGCACATGGATGGCCAAGTTCTTCTGTGGCTCTAGAACTGTCGACATGCCTGTAGTGTTACTTTCTCATGGACCTATTTGGGCTGGAAAGCACTAAAATGAACTTTCTTCAAACGCCAGAGCCTAAATTAAACATTCTCTTCCCACATAATGCAAATGCCCCAAAAGCTTTTTCTTTCACCAGAAGGGCAAGTTCTGAAGCCTACAGCCTTCTCCACAGTTCTCCGATAGCAAGGGCTGGCGTGCCTAGGAGTATGGGAGCGTGCTCTACTATCTGTCCTGATGGCTATCACGCCAGGGGCTTATTGCCTGCCTGTGAGCAGTTTGTCTTTGACACACCTGTCAGAGTTTAACCTGTTGGGTCTGTTCAAAGGATTGGGTTCCCACGTGCTCCCAGGAGTGCACTTCAACTGTGCTCAAATCCAACTCGGAGGCTTGCTCTCTGAACAACCTGCATGTGTGGTTTCTGACAGTGGCTCATAGCAGGGAGGATAGGCAAAATCTAGACAGACCCCAAGTCTTGTTAAGCACACCCCAGAATGGTTGTGCATCTCGGAGCCATACACACCTAACGCACCTCCCCAAACCAAAGCTTCAGCCTTTCATTCACTCCCTCTGCCCAGCCTGCATCCTCTACCTCACATAACTGCAGCCACAGAATGTCCTGCAGGCCCTGGTACTTTAGTAAGTGGAGTAGTGAATAATGATCAGTCTATAACTATTTACTCCTGTGCAAAGGATGGGTTTGTGGGTACTCAACTTTCCCAAGTTCCACGTGAAAACATGTATTAAATCTGGGCTGTGAGTAGCCGTGTGGCTTCCAGTTTAGCAGTCGGTGCTTATCTGGAGAGCTCCTTCTCACAACACCATTTCCCTGGCTCTGCTTTTCCTCGTGCAGTTACTACTGAAGCTGACAGTCACTCAGTGCGATGGAGACACAAAACTTCACACGCGTGGGAGCTGGGCCACAGCCCCGTGGCATCTCCCGGTCTCCTGCAGGGCCAGGAGCCACCCGGCCACCTTGCTGGGGGCTGCGGAGCAGCCGTACATCCCCGGCATGCCTGGCTGCACCCCCTGCAAACCGGGGCCAACCTGGCACGTCCTCGTGGCACTGCGTGGAGACCATCAGCCAGAAACGTGGTGGACACCAGGCGCCTTGCTATGGCCTTAAACCCGATGTCACACCAGCTTATCTCCTACCTAGGCAAGCTCTCCAGCCCTCCATGCCACGGACCATCCCCAAACCTGCTGCTGTTGCCACCCACCTCCCGCCTCAACGCAGGGCCAGGGACACTGGTGTCCCGCTCGGTGTGAGGCGAGCAAGACCGGGCGCCCGCGGGCGCAGAGCGGTCGCTGCGGCCCCAGCGGCGCCTTCCCGCTCC